TGCAGTTTATACTCGTATACTTATCTGAGTGTTGAAGTGTACTAGAAGTGAATCAAGGGTGCTGTGAAAATACAACTTGAACACACGTTGAGTTAAACCTTTGTGTGAGACAGCATCACTGTCCCGCATGTGCGAGACAGCTACACTATCTTGCATGTGCGAGACAATGTCGACTGTCTTGCACAAAGGCGAATAGTCGGTTCCTAGGGCCTTATATGTCTGATTCTTTCGGTCTTTTGGCTCATCTTTGCCCGCCTCTTTACCTTCAGAAATCTTCTTAAAACCCTATATAAGAGTTCTTCCATCCTTCCTTACCCTCATCTTTTCAATCTTGATCCAAAGGCCACAAAACCACTTAGGGTTTCAAAGCTCCTTCGAAGGTTAGATCTCTATCCTTGTATTTCCTTCACAAATTCTTGTTTTCTCCTTGTCCTAGATAAAATCCAAACTCATGGTTTGAGTCTTGGGTTATTTTGATCCTTCATTTGAAATTTGACCCAAAACCCTAACTTTTTCTTGATTTTTAGGTCAAAATTATCTCTTTTCACCATGTCTCCCAAGAGATCGCATGTTCCCCGAGGTAGATTGACTACTCAGCCCTCTGAGAGGGAGGATCCCACTATTTCATCTTATGGATGTGAGTTCCCTTGACTTTATTCAGTTCAAAAGTTGGATTTTGTATGTATACCCTCGTTCGCTCTCCTTCACGAAGCATTCGGGAAGAGCCGGTATCCTCCTTTGTGGGGGTCGACGCTTAAAATATGTGTTTTGGTTGGTCAAAATATGTCTCAAGGCAAAAGGGGTGATTTTACGTTGTTTCGCACTTTGTGAGACACGACATAGTATCGTGTTATTTACATGATAATGTACATTGTCTCTCGTGCATGAAACAACTGAAATCATCTCGCAAATCACAAGGTAGTGACTCTATCTCATGGATTAACGGGATAAGTTAGACTCCTTGTTTCACCTTAGAAATATTCTTTTAACTGCGTTTCAATATATATAAAAAAATTCCTTTGCAATCAACTTCTCGTCTGTGGCCTTCTCTGATAGAGAAGTGTTCGGTCAAAGTGGCACCACCTATGCTTCCTTTGATGGGAGTCCTTTGATCAGAGAGGCTCCTCAATTTGGTGTGGATTACTCGAAGGATGTCCACGATCTTGTGCAACAAAGGGATCGTCGTATTCTGCATCAGTTGATTACTGACGTACCATTGACCAAGTATCAGGAGTCGAGTGATCATTTAAGGAAGCCCCATTATCTATTCGACGACTCGATTGAGGATCCTGAAAGGCTCTCGTGTGGCTCAGAGTAGTGGTTGACTGAGCATGGTGGAGTATTTCTATTCTTGCCTCCCATTCCTCGACATCATTCCCTCATACAACTTAGGAACTTAGCAATGACCCGCAAAATGTCCTGGCAGTTGATAGAAGATCATGAACGCGTTCATTGTGGATTTATTGGTAGGGATGCTAAGACCCAAGTTCGAGTGATCAGAATTCCGTCAGAGGGCTTTATCCCGGGATATTAGGTCAGGATAACTTGCCCTAAAATGAACTGATGATTAGGGCAAGTACCATGAAGAACAGTTTAGCTCGATTGGGAAGGGAGCTCCCAGTTAAGAAATATAGGTACTTTGGATGGGTCCACTCTTCTTCAGACAGATGGTGGATGAGAACGATGAGCTACATACTTAGCCATTAGGGGAAAAGAGTTGACTGATAACGGATTATTCGTCCCCATACGAGCTAGTATGTATGGCCTCCCGATTAGTGTTGACCACTTTTTTACTTTGTTTGATACATATAATCTAGATACCAATACTTTTTTAACCAAGAATGGAGAGTTAGGTCTTTCTCTCCACGAGACGATGAAAGTATCCGGATTGCCAATGGGAGATTTACCTTATCAATAATATTTTTCGACTGTTAGTCAGCTAAACTGGATGAAAGAGATAGCTACTGTTGCTCACGATATCATGTGGGAACTGGCCTGCCATTATTAGACAACCATGGCAGATACAAATATAAAAGCTAAGAAGAAATTTCCGCAAGTCAGTTTGCAGCAGTTTGCGGCCAGACTATCTTTTTAAGAACCTTGAGAGCCATTCTAGAAATGAGGTGTGTGAATTACCTCCCCTAACCCCATCAGAAATCAACAAGCTGTTGTTGAAAGCAAATGCTCAATCGTATACTACCCGCTCCATTGAAGGAAAATTTCCAAAGGGTACGGAGTTCCATTCCTTTTTGTGGTGTGCTCAAAAGAAGAGTACGCTAAAAACTCTTCTAGTAAGGTACTTAGCCATTTGGCAAAAGAAATGTGTAGCACCTCATCAGCCCTCTAATGCCTTACCTATAGAAGTCTTGTACCTCGCTGTTCAACTGGCAATCAGGCGTAAACTTTCCCTGCTCCTAGCTATGATTGCTAATATCCACATCGGGCTTTGTCAGCTGGCCACCACATTTACACAAGAAGGAAAGAAGCCTTTAAGTGAAATTCCTACTACCAAGATAGAACTGCCATATACTTATTTAATAGTGTGGTTGGTTCTTTGTCGACTAGATTTGATGACAGCACCTGAGACTACCAATCTGGGTCTTCCTCTGTTACAGATCGTAAAGGAGTGTAAATGGACGACCAAGCAGTGGCATGAGGTATCAAGGTAGTTTCAGGTTCATAAGTATTGGGAATTTTTAAATGTTTCCCTCAATTCTTCGGAAATTATAATGAAATGCTCGTAGATGAGGAAGAGCCAAGAAAAACTAGAATTGTTTTAGATGTAGGATATTTTCGCTAGTTAATGAACATCTGCCCCAGCTACCTCATCTTCCAAGTGAAGAATGTTTGTAGTATCAAGCCTTATCTTCCCTGTAGATTCACTCGTCAATTTGGATATGACCAACTGTATGTTGGGAATCTAAATAGAAGACTGAAGACTTATGGTGGTCTCACCGATGGTGCACGAGCTTGGTTTTGGAGCATAAGTGGTTGTACAAATGCCCAATTTAGCCTTCCAGTCACCGAGCCTCATCTACAGATGATATTCTTGTATTACAATTGGCTCATCGCTACCAACGCGCCCACAAAAAAGAAGAAAATCTCAGAGCTAGAGGCAACAATAGCATCCAGACTTGCCACTGAAATAGTTCGAGAAACTATTCTTTCTAGGAAAGGAAAGGAACCTATTGAATCCTCCAGCAAAGGGAAGCAAAATCGCTAATTTTGATGAAAGCGAGGAGGAATTCTTCAAAGATGTAACTTGGACATCCGAGGAAGAAGGTGGGTCTGAAGATGCTGAATTTGGAGGAGGTGATGAGGAAGGTGCATCAGATCTTCCACCTTCTTTCTCTCCAAGGGACGCGCGAGCTCACCCGTTGCTCATAGGACTCGTCGATCTGACATACCTAAATCACTGGAAGCTCAAAAAAGAATGAAGGAGATGGTTGCTCTAACATCTCCCAATTAGATGACAGTGGAAGTCCTTTGTGGAAATGAAGAGGAAGAAGATACAATGCCCCCTACTCATAGGAAGAGATCTCAACCTTCAACTCAGGCTCATATTCAAGCTCAAGTTTCTCTAAGAGCCGAGTTGCACACAAAATATCACCATGAGAGATCCGTTACTTTGGGAGAAGTTTGTCCATAAAAAAGGACTAAGATGGTCATGCACCAACAACGTACCCCTTTGCCGGTAATAGAAGAGGAGCCGACCCACAATATTCCTGTTGAGGAAAACGGTAATATTTTGTCTTCACCTTTCTTCCACCGCATCATTTTTAGATTTTTTGAACTCATTTTGCAATTTGTTTTCATAGGGGACCGTGAAGAAGGCGAAATTCCATATGGACCCTCTTCTCTCGGACTAATTCATATAGAGGAGCCAAGTTTTGTCCAGCAAATGTATAAGGCAATAGTTGATGAGCCTGTCGGCACTAGGCCTGCTAGAGAGATTAGAGTTCAACTCGATCCCCCTACCACAGTCACTCCAACAGCTTCCAGCTCAGGTACAAGTATTTTCCTATTCGGAGTGCAATTCCGAGAGATGAGTGAATCGGAGTGCGTACTTCCTCTAATGGTTTTTGCATTTCATCTTCTTTTAGATAAATTAAAGGAAGCGAGTACCAGTGCTGGAGCTGTAGAATCTGTCGCAACGGCTGAAGGTAGAGTTGGCTTCTACTTGGTAAGGGTTCCTCACTCCAACAGCTTCCAGCTCAGGTACAAGTATTTTCCTATTCGGAGTGCAATTCCGAGAGATGAGTGAATCGGAGTGCGTACTTCCTCTAATGGTTTTTGCATTTCATCTTCTTTTAGATAAATTAAAGGAAGCGAGTACCAGTGCTGGAGCTGTAGAATCTGTCGCAACGGCTGAAGGTAGAGTTGGCTTCTACTTGGTAAGGGTTCC